TGCCCTGGGTGGAGGAACCGCATGCGGGCTGTGCCACTGGGACCTTCGGTGGAGCTCCCTATGGGGCTACGAAACGTGTGAGAGGTGTGCCGAGAGCAGAGGCAAGGAGGGGGAGGAGGGAGGAGGGCGAGGAGGGGGAGGAGGAGGAGAGGAGGTGGGACGCGGGGCGCTGTCTCTTCAAAACGAGGACCCAACACCACAGGATGGTTGGGAAAAACACCATAAACAGAAACTGTCCGCGCTCCGCGCGGATTTCTTGGATCTGCGCCGGACCACCCCCCTGGCGCGCGGAGCGCGCCAGCGGCGGCGCCGGAGGCGTCGCCGGGGGGGGCCCAGCGCGGATTCACGAAGCCCGCGCGGAGCTCCTAAAGTTATGTTTATGGCGTTTCTGCCCCCCTCTGCGCGTGGCCGATTAGCGCCTTGGCCGAGGCCTGGCCATCGCTCGGACGTCCATTCCCCGTGCATTTGTTCAATTTCATGCATGGTTTTCCGCCAAGTGATCACGGATGCTCCTCGATGGTCCTCGCCGAAAGAAAAATGCACACGTCCGAGCGATGCCAAGTGGCGCCAGGTCCCGATTCCCTCCGTGAGGCGCGGGCCTCACGAGAGAGGGGGTCCGCCGCGTCGAGGGGCCCGGCAGTGCGGAGACGCGGGCCCGACGCATAGGCAAGTGGCGGGGGTCCCAGCCGAAGACGGCCAGCGTGGGCCACGAGAAGCACCGCCAGGCTCCGGGGAACAGACGAGGGCGTACACATCAGACCCAGACCCCCACGGGTCATGAAGAGATCACGGCGGGAGGTGTTCCCCAATCTTCGGCCTCTGGGGGCCTCGCCGGGCCTCCAGACGGTCAAAAAACGACTCAGGATGGGAAACCGGCCCCGGGGAAGGGGTCCAGACCTCTGGGCGTGGACGTCATGATCAAATCATGACGTCGGGGGTCTGGGTAGGTGAACAAACAATGTGAGCGTTTTCTCATTCGGCGTTTCGGCATTGGTCGGAAGGGCGGGGGCGAGGGGGGGGGTCTGGCTCCGGACCTCTGCTGAATGCCACCGTTTGCAGCAGCGCGTCCTATGGGGGAGGCTCCACCTGCTCGAAGCAGACGCCCCAAACAGCCAAGATCTACTCAATTGGGAGAGGGGGGAGGGGGGTGCGAGGGCCCGCGCCGATCGGCAAAACAATGGATAAGAAAACGACGACAATGACGTAAACATCAGGGCTCGACCAACACAGGTGTTGTTGGTTTCGTCACGTTTTTTAGTTATTCCAATCTGCCTCTGCTGCAAACAAACTCGAAACAAACACGGCCCACGAAATCGCCCAAACACCGCTCAGGTCGACCACAACAAAACTTAGGTCGGGCCTGTCCCCCTACAGGCGGATTTTGAACGAAACATTAAACATACCAAAACAATACTCAAACATTTGTTTTTCAAAAAAGAAATGGTATCCATAATTCTTACTTGTTGACTATGTTTGAATGTTCCTCCTGTAGAGGGACACGCCCAGCTTAATGCGAAACGCAAAAACTCAGAACTCCGCGCAGATTTCCCAGAACGACGCTGGACCCCCTCCCTGGCGCGTGGCGCGCGCCAGGGGCGGCGCCGGAGGCGCCGCCATGGGGCCCCAACGCCGATCTCGGGGGCGCGCAAACATGGATTAGCGATCCATTGATTTGGCGCGCGGTCGCCAAATCCATGGATCGGGGGAGGTGCCCTCCCCAACATGCGGCCGGTGCCGCCTCGCTCGGTGGAGGAAATCCTTGATTTCCAATGGAAACGGGACCCGTCGCTAATCCACGCCCCCTTGATCCATGTTTGCGATGGCCTGACATGGGGCCCCAGCGCCGATCCGAGGAATCCGTTCGGACCTCGGAGTTTCTCGCTGGCTGACATGGGGCCCCAGCGCCGATCCGAGGAATCCTGTTCTCCCAAGGCTGGCTGGCACGTGGATCCCACCGCCCGCCTTACCTCTCTCTCTCTCTCTCTCTCTTTTTTTTTCTCTCTCTCTCTCTCTCTCTCTTTCTTTTTTTTTTTCTCTCTCTCTCTCTCTCTCTTTCTCTCTCTCTCTCTCTCTCTCTCTCTCTCTCTCTCTCCCTCTATATATATATATATATATAGACAGATGAGGCCTGCGCCTTCTGAGAAGCAGCGGTACTTCTGAGAAACCTCCCCCCCCTCCCCCTACCACCCTCTACGCGTGGCCGGGGGAGAGCCGCGAGAGCTCAATCTGGCGCCCTCACTGCGTCTGCGGCCGGGCGCGAGACCGGGGGCGGAGGAGGGAGGCCGTGGGACGTTCCCGGCCCTCTGCGGGCGCGCTCGGGCCGTCTTCGAGGGGGGGAGCTCTCGAGACGAAGCCAGGACGAGGATATGCGGGCAATAGTTATATCCACATCCAGTGCGTCTTGGGTTCTTGGGCTCGCTTCCCCAGAAACCGTAGGCGCACTGGATATGGATCAAAATCTGGCCCCAAGAGGCTTGATTTTATCCATATCCAGTGCGCCTCGGCGTTGCGGCACCTCTTCCCAAAAAGTCCACGACGCTCTGGATATGGATAGAAGTACTGCCCGCAGGATAAACTCGGGTGAGGATGCATCGAACATCTCTGAGATCCGGCAGATCTGGGCCTTCTCAGCAAGCGCCCCGGAACGCTCTGAGAGCGTTCCGGAACGCTCTGGAACGGGTTCAGCCTCGTCTATGCAGACCCGCCCGCCCTGGCACGAGCCACGCTTCGCTCGAGTGCGGTTGGCCTCTGGCGTGCCCGCAGCGGAGGGCAGCCCGAGCCCGACAGGGACAGGGGTGCGCAACCTGCGCCCTGTCGGCCTGCGCGAGCGCGCGCCGAGCGGAACTCCCAGCCCACTCTGGCGGGGGAGCTCTGGCTGGCCATCGCTCGGACGTCCATTCCCTGTGCTGTTTTCGGTTTCGTGCGTGTGTTTTTTTCGCCAAGTGATCAAGAATGCTCCTCGATGGTCCTCGCCGAAGGAAAAACGCACACGTCCGAGCGATGCCCAGCGACGGCGGCGACGGCGACGGCGTCGCCAGAGCTCGACTGCGGCTCGGTCGCATCGGCCGGGCCCACGCTCGACCGACCAGGGCTTCTGACCGCTTCCCCCCTGGGCCTCCTGCCATCCTCCGCCATCCTCCCCCTCCTCCTCCTATCCTCCCCCTCCTCCCCTCTACTCCTCCTCCCCTACCGCCTCCTACTCCTCCTCCTCCTCCATCCTCCTCCTCTCCTCCTCCTCCTCCTCTCTCCCTCCTCTCCTCCCCTCCTCCTCCTCCTCCCCTCCCTCTCCTCCTCCTCCTCCTCCTCCTCCCTCCTCCCTCCTCCTCCTCCCTCCTCCTCCTCCTCCCCTCCTTCCTTCCCTCTCCTCCTCCTCCTCCTCCTCCTCCTCCTCCTCCTCCTCCTCCTCCCCTCCTCCTCCCTCCTCCTCCTCCTCCTCCTCCTCCTCCTCCTCCTCCTCCTTTTCCTCCTCCTTTTCCTCCTCCAGAGGCCCCCGCGGACGCCTCCCAGGGGCCTGCCCACCCCGCTGAGAGCTCCCGCGACGCGGATGGGGTGCGGCACCCAGGAGACAGCACGACGAGGGCCCTCGACGCCACCCTCCTGCGGCGCGCACCCCTCGCATGGGGGCCCGACGCGGGGCGACCGCCGCGACGCCTGGGCCTCGGGAATTCCCGATGCTTCGCGAAGCTTCGCCGACAGATCGGCAACAGGCAACGAGTCCCCCACGGGTAAAGTTGTTGAATCTGGGGCACATCAATAAGACCACCTCCCGATCTGCGAGGGCTGGGCTTCTCGGGGGCCGATGCCTCTCCCACCCCTGCTGGACGAGCGCGTTCCACTGCTCGCAAAGCGACGACTCGCGGATGACCTGGATCCGCCGCGGGGGATCCACGACAAATGTTATCGAAGCAGACATGTGTGTGTGTGTGTTTCGGACGTTTGCGAGCAGGCACTCTGCGAGTCGTGGAATGCGCCCGGTGACCTGCGCCCATGCCCTCCTCCCCTGACCACCACTCGGGAGTCCCGCGTGGTGCGGCGACCACACCGCGTGGTGGGTCAGAGGGGATCCAGGGCTACCGCATGGCTTTGAGACTTGGCTCGCTATCCGAGGATGCCTCGAGCGACCGGGGTCTCCAGGGCCCCCGAGCCGCGCGACTGCAAGTCGTGCGGTGAGCTCCTCGGGGATGCCGAGCTCACCGCATGGTCTGTCACCGCGCCGTTCTTGCCGGGGCAGCTGTCTTCGCGCTCCGTGCTCCGCGAAGCGCGACTATCTTCGCGCTCTCGCGCCGCCCCGCCCCAACAGAATCAGGGACCCGCGCCTCGCTCCGCAAGCGCCTATAGTGGGGAAGCGCGGAGCGCATCTCGCTACCTCCGTGAGGGCCCTGAGTTTGGGGGACCTCCCTGACCAGCGTCCCCGCGGCTCCCAAAGGCGGCCGCTTGGGCGAAGGTGCCCGGGCCACAAGTAATTAAGCATCCTGCGCACGGCACCGCCCTCCCTGGCGGTGGCACTGCTCTCAGAGGACGGCGACGGCGAGGCCGCGACCGGGGGAGGGGGGAAGGGGAGGGGCAAAAGGCAGGGGCTCCAGGGGATGAGAGGGCGGGAAGACAGAGGAGGAGGAGGAGGAGGAGGGGAGGACGGAGGGGAAGGAGGGGGGGCGGAGGGGGGTGAGGAGGGCGAGCGAGGACGAAGGACGACTGAGGCGGGGGGGGAGGGGGGGAGACGGGAAAACAAGGAGGGGAGGATGAGCGAAGGAGAGGAAGGGAAGGGTCAAGGAGGAGGGGGAGAAGGGGTAGGACGAGGAAACGAAACACCGGCGCATCGAGGAGAGCCCTCCTCGCTCTCGCGCTGCCGAGCGCGACCCTCCTGCTCCCCGCCCACTCGCGAAGCCACTGAGGCCTCGCCCTCCCTGCCCGCCCTGCCGCCTCGTCGCTCCTCCCCGCTCCCTTCTCGTCCCCACTCCCCCTTCCCACTCTGGCTCATGAAGGCAGCGCTTCAGCACCAG